AAACACAGCACCCCACCTCTCTGCTTTCAGCTCCAGATCCAAGGAGAGTGATGGGAGTAGAGGTAGCTGAGGAGTCTGAGTGAAGTGGGGTGTTTGGAGCAGGGACCCCAGAGTTGCAGATTTTCTCAGCTACTCTCCCTCCATGGAGTTGCCCCTCCCAGTGGGAATTTTCACTCTTTTGTTGTCAGTTGTGTGGGGGGCAGGGAGTGAGGCCCTGGAATCGGGCCAGTCCCCAGGGTAAGACTTGTGAGAGGCCGGGCACCTCGCTGTGGCTCTCCTATGGTTTTTCCTAGAGTGATAGGATGAGGGTCCCTGTTATGGTGTCACCGAGTCCAGTACTTTTGGCAGTGCTTCTGGGGACTTGCTCCTTATGATGACACAGGAAGCAGTTCCCCAGAGGTCACTTCCTGTGACGATGAGAGACAGGTACGTCCTCCGATGTCTCAATGAGCCCTTCCGTGAAGGTCACTTTGGTGATATCACGGGGGGGGGGGGGGGGGGGTGCCTGGAGGTCACTTGCCGTGACGTCACTGGGATGAAGCATGTGCTTCCTAAATTGGACGGTGGCCAATCCTGACCCTCCTTCCCCACCCACACCCTTCGGTGGGTGTTGGTTTGGGCTGGGAGGGGTGGTTGTCTTCCTTGGAACAGAATAAGGAGTGGCACCTGGATCCAATCTGGAGGACTCTGTAGGGAAGAAAACCCAGTCCTGTCAGGGTCATCAGCATCCCAACGCCAAGTCTGGGAACTCGCCCTGGCAGGGCAGGTGGGAGATGGAGCTAGTGAAAACTGCTGTGGAAGACCCTGTTCCCGCCCCCGCCTTTTGTGTGCATGCCTGTGTCTGCGTGGCTTTGTTTCATTGAGTCCGGTGAAGCCCGCGAGCGGTGGCGCAGTCAGGCCAGCGTGGCTCGCCGTGGAATTCGCCGAGCATGGTAGGGTCCCTGGGGCTGGAACGTGTCGTGTGAGCTGATAGATTAGATTGGCTTGGTGCTTCCTGCAAGCCGGCGTGCTCCGGTGGTGACTGATACAGATCAGAATGTTTCTGCGTGCTCAGCGTGGCTCTGAGGAACTAGAATGTTCTGATGGAGTCTAACAAGCCAGGCAGCCTTGAGAGTTGGTTTGGGTGTGGCTCTAAGCACTGTGGCTGTGGTCGGTCAGCTCTAAGGGCCTGATGGCAGACTGAGGTTCCAGGGTCTGACAACCCTGGAGACTAGGATAGCTGAGACGCCCCTCTACCCTCATCTGTCCCTCTCCCTTGGAGAACTCTACTTTCTCCAACCCAAAGCAGGGCCTTCCCAGTGCCCTGGTTTCATCATCAGCATCTCTGGGGGAAGGGCGCCCCATGCCCACCCTCTCCCCCACTTGTCCCCCTCCTAGGTCTTCCAGGCCCTTCCCTGCTCCATGGCTTTGGGGGAATCTGGCCTCCTTGTCTTTGTCTCCTAAAAATGGAGGGAAGAAAAACCACAGAGAATTCCCACCCCTGAAGCCTGGGAGACCCCTCCCCTTCACTAGAGAGCCACCTCCAAATCAAAATGTGAAAATCCCTAGAAAGCAATAGCCTTCAAGGTACCTTGCACTGAATTTCCTACCCCGGCCCTCCCACCCGATGGGAGGCTGTAGCTTGGGCACTGGGGTGACTTTTTCCATGCCCTTGTCATCTCCAGGGTCAGGGGTAGTCCCCATTTCCCCTCCTTACCCCCACCTCCCATCGCTGCTGCCCCCACCCCTAATCTCCAGACTGAACCCAGATGGAGATCTGAGTGCCAAAACAATTCTTGATGTAACTTTGTACATATCTTCTACACTTGGGGACTCGGGGTTAGAGGTGGGGGCAGCTCTGTGGGCCAATTGCTCCTCTCCACCTCTAGAAAGACCTTACAGTATTTCATAGTATCTCCACCCACATGTGGGTATTACGGTATCTAGCTGGACTTTCAACCCTTTGACCCTCCCCCAGGCTCCCATGAGGAGGGGAAGGAGCCAGGGAAGAGTTGAAGTCAAGGTTTCATGGTGGGGGGGTGGGATTTAGGGAAGCTCATTTGCATATCATTTGTATCCCCAGCTTGCCAGCAGCTTTCTATAAACCGTTTCCTGGAGTCTGGGGGGCCGTCTGTGGGGTCCCGTGCTCCTGTCACACAGATACGACTCAGGAGGCTGGGCCTCCTGAAGGTGTTTCCTTGGGTGTCTGTGTAACAATCCCCTCCCTAGCCACATTTCTCGGGGACCCTCTTCCCCACCAGCCAGGGCTATCTGAAAGGCAGTTTACTAGCGGTGAGCTAGTTTACGCAGGTTGGTGCGTAGGGAGCCACACGTCTTGACCCATTTCAACCAAGGAAATCCACTCCGCCCTCTTCCCCAGCCCTTGAAAGTCCCTTCTGCAACCTGACCTCAATCTTTCGTGCTGCGGTTTGTCCAGAAGGGACACAGATGTGGGGCTAGGGATGGGAAATAGTGAAAAACCTACCACCCCTTCCTCCCTGTTAGCCAATCAGGTCTCAGAGACTCTGAATGGCCTCTTTGCACCCTGCTCTTCAGCACCCACTAGGTGCTTAATATTAAGTGTCTGCTGCATTGAACCATCTCTCTCCCTTCTCATTTGCCCTCCAGCTTCTAGTACCTTCCCCTGGCATTCCCCTCTTTCTTTCTCTGGCTTCTTACAGCTTACTGGTTTTCTCCCTGTGGCCCCATCTTTCACCTGTCCTGTCTCTCTCTGTCTGTGTCTGCCTTCCTCCTCTCCTC